AGAGTTGGAGTAAGCTTTTTGAACGAGAAGGATTGTGTTTTGCCATTGGAGAGATAGGAATGGATGTGTGTGTGTGTCTGTAAGAGAGAGAAACAGAGAGAGGAAGAGTGGGGATGTTATGATGTGTGCATTTTCATTGTTGTCTATGCTGGGTTTTAAACAGAATCATGGAGGGAGAGAAAAAAATAATAATGCAAATATTTTTTTTTTGAATTGTAAAAATGAAAGCAAAGAAAATGAAGTGAAAAGGGTTTCTTTTGTTTCTCTTTTCCCTTTTTTTTTAGCGGAGAATCAACTGTTTGCGACAAGAAACGGGCAGAGGAAGCGAAGAAGTGCTTCATATCGGTCGCATCACGGGGAGGTGATGGGACGCAATGATCTTGTGGATGATAAAAATGATATGGTGGAGATTTTGAGAGAGAGAAAAGAGACTAGTACTAATTTAATATCAGACAATGACTAATTGAACTCTGTTTTATTGCACACACACAAAACAGAGGAATTGTTTCGCAGTAGTCATTTTGAGCCACGCGTGAAGCCCCGAATTAACGAGCAATAGGAATGAGTTTCGTTGATCGCATGAAATAGGCAATGGAGGCACAAAGTTTTCAAGTGTTTTTCTACAACTTCATTAATTAATTTAGTTCTTTCAATAACTAGGAATGTGTTCATTGAAGAGTTCCAATTTCCATCCTGGTAGATTAAATTTGACGGTAACGATTAGGTTTCATCTTCCATTGAGAATATCGATGTTAAGATCTTATATAAAATAACTGGAAAACCCGGAAGAAGGAAAATGGATTCGGAGGAATTGGGAGAAAGTTTTGGATATTGAAGGGAAATAGAAATACGGAAAGATCAACACAACAACTCGAAAAGTCAATCAGAACAGTGAAAGCTGTCCTATTTGTTACAAACTTTCCTTTTCTTCACAAAATTCTCCGGTACGCTAATTTCCACAGGATTCCAGATTCTCGGGGAACATTTTACCCGAAACAGGCGAGTTTTACACCACAAAGCCCTGTGTCAAGACACCTGCCTTAACCGTGTGGTTAGGATCAGGTTCCTGTTTGGTCTGAGATTCTTTAGAGAAAAAAATGGACAATGGTGAACTATCTCTATTCTCTACAGTTTTCTTTGCGCATGAAACAGTATTTCTTCCATTTCCCCTCCTTCCTAATTACAC